CTTACACTCCTTATCCTGGCTCTTTTAACTCTCCGCCTCTTTCTTTGTTTGCACCATCTCTTTCTTCCTGAAATCACTTGTTCTTATTTCACTGCAGTTTGACAGACAGCATCCTTCTTCACTCTTTCCTCGTTAGCTGAATGGCTGAGGCTGCCTGTTGCAGGCTAGCGCTGTCAGACTGAGGGGTCCCTGCAGACTTTTTGTGCTCAGTTTTGAATTTGAGACTTCTTGGCTCATGCTGCACTTACATAATCTGTTGTCAAAGCCGGGTACATAGAGTGCACGGTAACACTGGTAATTCATGAATTATATCTTCTGTATGAATGATAGCCCATATATGGCACTTATCCTCCCCTCAGCAAATTTTATTAGTGCATTTCTAGCTAAGATCTTCCCCAGTGTTGATTACATTTCTGGATGGGGAGGATTTCTTTGTTTGTTTACCTTCCCTGGACTGTTTTTCTTTCAAGAACGGAAATGCACTGGAGTGATAGCGTCATTCAAACTAAAAATCACAGATATTGTGCTATACAAAGAATTTTTTATGTGAATTTTCTCATTTTTACGACCTAATAAGAAAGAAGAAATGAAACAAGGAGAAATAAGTGTCCACTTCTTGATAGACGTCTCGTTTTTTCAGCCTGCCAATTTGGCCAGAGTCCTAAGTCTAAAGACTGGTGGGCTTTTTGTTATGGTTACGTAACTATCGGGAAAGCGCAATATGGGTTGATCATTCAGTGATTAAAGTGGATTCAAATGGACCTATTGAAGGTATGTGTTTGATTCCCATTGCAGATGGCACAGTTTTGAGTCCCCAGTTTCCTCTTGCCTCTTTGCCATTGCCCCATTATTTAAAACACAGACCAAAGCGGTCCTTTCATGACACTATGATTGAAATCTGATGTCAAGAGCCGACATTATTCCAAACATCAAAGAAGAGCAGATTGAAGTGTAAATAACACCCACTGACCATTGTAACTATGGTGCATAGCATTGGTGCATTTAGAGAAAGTGGATCTGACTGAAAATTGCTGTCAGATCCACATAAAAGAGGGCCATCAGAGAGTCAATGTTAACTGCATTTATTCTGCTTGAAATTGTTATTATACTGTGTAATGCTGTGTTGGAAGACCTACAGGTGCACTGGTGAAGCAGCTCTGTTACCAGACTTGTTGAATCCTGAGCTGAATGCAAATGTATGATTGGTAAAACAGAACTCCAGCAAACAGCTCGAGTGCTGAATCCTTGAGCTGTTTGTTTCTCAGAACACGCCTCAAGTTCACCTGTAGTAAGGCAAAAGTTCAGCCATGGAAATGAATCAGAGAGTCTTATTAAAAGACTTAACAGCCACCAAGGCAAGAAACTCAATGAGCTGACACCAGTACACTCTTCAATGCAACATAGCAAACAGTCACTACAGAGCAGCTTCTTAACACCCCCTCCCATAGTATCCCTTCACAGCAATTCCAGATTGTGTAGTCCTGTATTCAAACACTGCACAACCTTCAAATCCATCATTTTATCTCAAGGGACCTACAGTGGATGTGCTTTTAGCTTTTCTATTAGCATGCACATTGTAATTTTTCATGCTTGGAAAAGGCCACAATGTTCCTTATAAGCTGTAATTTTAGAGCAGCCAAACTTCAACATAATCACACTCTATTTTACATCCCCTGCAACTCCCGCTCTAGCATTTCACTATTACAGTTCTTGCTTTCTTTTGTTTTGTATTTTTCATGTGAAAGTCTGCTTTTCTTCTTTTGTTTATCTCCTCTTGCACCACATTAACAGCTGTGCATACATTCCCCACCACACGTAATTACAACTAAAATATATGGAGAATGAAGCCAATAACTACAGTCTTTATTCTTGAAGTTATTCTGTTTCGATCAGTTTAAAATAATTTCGTCTCTTAATAAACACTCGTTGGAGCTGTGACATTTGCAGAACACAACTAGCGAGTTGCACAGACAACGTGTGCATCTTTAACAAAGGAAATAAAGGCTGAGCACTTATAGGCTGGGTTGTTGCCTATAATTACTTTCCCTTTGCTCTGGCAAACTACTAATTACGAAGATGTTTCATGTGCTATTACTGTACCCCAGGGCAGAGTAAGGTTATGTAGAAATCCAGTAAGAGATCTGCCCCCTATATGTTTTGTTTATAGCTTAAATATTGTTAGATAGTGAGTTTGATTGAAAATAGATAGATAGATAGATAGATAGATAGATAGATAGATAGATAGATAGATAGATAGATAGATAGATAGATAGATAGATAGATAGATAGAATGTGAATGCACGTGACTTCCATCGACCCTTCCGATCAATTGTGCTCCTCGTGTTTACATTCTGTCCAATCCAGTTATGCACACTGCTGTTAAAAACAGAGTTCAAGCTTTCACGTTACTAATTCCCACACATCATGAAGGATTCACATGGCTGTCACTGATATGCGACCTTTGAGTAGCCTCGAAGAGCTCGTGTTTTGTGTAAGAGCACTAAATGTTCCCTTAAGCAGCGGTTTGAATACAATAGAGGGAAAACAATAGCTTGAGCTGAGGGTCCTCCCTGTATCTAATTTTCAAAAGCAATTACACTGATTGGCACAATGCCGTGGGCTACACAATTGGCTGTTGGAACCGCTTTAACATTTGGAAACATGGAGGGTTCTTTAATTACACTATTGGTAAGGTGCTGCATGTTATTTATGTATTTATTCTTATTACTGTTAATCTTGTGGCACTCTGTGGTTCCATAAAAAAATCAATGTGGTATGATAAAATAAAATAACTGCATTTTGTACTGAACAAAGAAAACTCACTCACCTCAGAAATGCAACATATTGGCGTGTTTTCCTTTTGTCATTCTATATTCAAAAGGGGGGAAGCATGTGAAAAGAAGAAGAAGAAGAAATCTGTTCTTGACGGTGTGGTCAGCTTAAAAACCCGACATCACGTCTTAATGAAGCGGGTTCGGTCCAAAGCCAGCGAGAAACTCCAGATAAAACCCTGAAGCGAAGATGAAAGAATGCTCAACTCCTCTTTCCTCTCCTCCACTCTTGGCTTCAATTTCTCACTTGCTGCCTGTCTTCCCTTGTCCAGACAGATACGTGGTTCATAGCCAGAGCCTCATGTAATATTAAACACCGATAATGGATCAGCGCATTGTGAAAAATAAATGCACTCTTACGGTTTTTTTAATTCCATGTTTACATCACGCACCCAATTATCTCCCTCCTAAACGAACAGTATGCGCGCTGCTTCCTTTGTGCTCCCCGTCTTTCTCACTCTCAGCGGATTGAACCATTCCCGCAGCACGAGAGGGGGGGGGGGGGGGAGGTGGATGGGTGCTCTATTCCTGTGATTATATGTGAACGAATGGGTTTGGTGACTCGTGGCCAAATGTTGTTATTGTCGGGGATAAAGAGCCCGGGAGATGGAGTGATGGGAGGGGGGAAAGGGAAGAGGAGGAGGAGAAAGTGAGAGAGAAGGAAAGAAGGAGACATTTACTGTAAAGCAGTTTGATGCAAAGGAGGGACAAAGGGCACATTTTCTCTCTCTCTCTCCATTTTTCTCTTTTTTTTTAAATTCTTTTTGCCTGGTATATCATTACATGCAATATGAAATTAAACTGTATAATCGCTCCCTCTGGAACAGCTGCTTCCACACACTAAACCATTTTTCTTGTCATGTGTAAGTAGGATTTCTCCTTAAGCGGGCTCTCATGCTACATTATGCAACCAAGATATAATTATATCTAGTGTAATGGTAGAGAAAACACAAGTGCCGGCCTACTATTTCAATAGCCTTTCATGTTTGCTCTGCTGCCTGTGAGCTCCTTCAGCAAAAAAATATAGTGTCAGTTCAGAACCTCGGAGAGCTCCGAGCCGGCACCAACAACCAGTGTAAATAAAGGGTTGCACTTTCTAATGGGTGGTTTGTTTGTTTTTTGTCTTTTTTAAAAAATAAATAAATAAATAATTTAGATTTTTTTTCTAAGCTATAAGTGTACAGCAGGAATATTTTTATAAAGTTTGCCAACTGGTACTATGCTCGGATTATTCAAAATATACCAAGAATAATATTTTGAGTTGCCCGTCTTCGTGAAAGTGGCTAAATTTACACAGTATCAGGCCTTTGCCTTGATTTTAGCAGCCTTTTGTCAAAATCAGACAGCTTAGCGTGAAAGACCTTGCTTCTAGTGGTCTTATGTGGATGTATGTAGCGTGCTGATGGTGCCCCCTCCCGGAGAGAAATCATCATCGTGTCGGACACGGGAGCCACGCATCTGAACCAGATAAAACCTGATGTAGTCCACGGGTGTTTGCGTTATTGTCAGATGATATTGATTTGGGATCAACTTCGTTTAATCATCCGTGAATGTGCGTAGAGAAGATCCTTGTAGTTGCGTTTTAAACTGAAACATATAAATACTTCTGCTCTATAGTTTGGCTCCATTCCATTTGAAACCAAACACATCATTAAAATATTAACAATAATAATTTTTAAATGAATGATTATAATAGTGAGTTACAAATGTTTACTCCTCGGGTCAGTTTACGCACAGCTGCTCCTTAGTAAAACCAGCCTCTCGTGTTACCTATTACGTAACGATATATTAGCGGAGCTGGACGGACGAGTTTTGACGCGTTAATAAAACCGCGCATGCTCAAAGGTAGCCCTCTTGTTTATCGCCAGTTTGCTGGAAGTTATGAAAGTTTTGCTGAATGTTTAATTCTCGCAAAGCGAAGACATTGATGATCTCAAGACCTGACTTCGGGTCAGGTATTTAAAAAGTCAAATTACAGATAGAAATGAAATTAAAAACGTTTGCAAAAGAACCTTTCTGGCTGTCAATTCAAAAACACGTCATTTTTCTTCACATTCCGCGTGTCGGCGGTTATTTTATTGTCTAATGATGTTTTAAAATGTCCCCGTGTGGACGCGCAGCATCTGTGCCTTTAAGATCATCTCTCACAGCATCCTCCTCCTCCTCTCCTGTCAGGGACGCGCACACACAGCAGTGCAATATTAGAGACTACAAGCTAGCTTTCTGCACACATATTTTCCCACAGGTACATCATAACCTCACACAACTACACCTGTCCTCGTTGTTTCTCAACTGGACATTGATGCATTTGCCTCAACAGTAACCGTAGCGGTCCCTCCGATCGTTATTGCTTTTATTCCCTTCCCTCCCGCATCCAAAGACTGATCTACGCTACAAGATGGCTGAGCTGAATTTGGGGAAGGGGCTCACTGCAGGGAAAGTGGCCAGTAACGTGCAGAAAAAACTAACCAGAGCGCAAGAAAAGGTAAGCGTGTCTCCCTTACGCGTTGCTGTGTGGTAAATTTATATCTCCGGCCCTCACGCCACGAAGCAGTAATGCCGCATCCTCCACAGAGGCGCAGTGTCGCATCACGACATCATCAAATAAGCGTGGAGTTTGCTGTATTTAAGGAAGAAGCTGTTTACTTGAAATAGGCTGCTCCCCTGCTTTAAAACACTGTCACACAGCGGACACGTACTGCAGTCAGATATGGTGTAGGCCCGCTCATGATCTAGCCTGATGTGTCTGGTATTTGAAGGCTCCTATCTAAACTGGCAGATGAGTGATGTTACTCAGTAAGGGGCATCATCTCATACGTTCTGAGGCCGTTATTAAACAACCATGCAGCAATATGTTGACTATAGGTTGTAGAGGAGGCCACAGACTACGCTTTTAAACACCTGCACTTTGCGCTCAATATTTGGGAGGGGGCGCTATTTGTTCAGCTAAAGGTATTATAAAGCCTGCTGTAAGGCTAAAGATAGACAGAAAGCAGACACGGGTGCCTCCCTACATGCATACTATGTCTGTGTGAATGTTACCGAAGGGGGAAATTAGACTGTGTATAGAGATTTTGGCTATATGTCCCATCAATATGGCAAATATTTAAAAAAAAAAAAAAAAAAAAGACTCGCCATGTGTGTGTATGTTTCTGTTTTACATCGTCACTTCATGTTTCTAACCAAATGCAAAGAAATACTATTGATTTTTGATGGCAAAACAGAAAGCTGCTGGGAATCAGTTGTACGGTCTGATGTTTTCAATCATTATTTGTGTGACAGGTTCTGCAGAAACTTGGCAAAGCAGACGAGACCAAAGATGTCGCTTTTGAAGAGGGAGTAATCAACTTCAACAAACAATATGTAAGAGTGCAGTTCAGTGACTCATGGAGTCATAATTAAACATTTTCTAGATATCAACAATAGTATGGCCTAAAATAGGATAAACTGTAGCCTGCATTGAGTCTGAATCCACAGCATATAATACACGATTGGCGTTTTTTGATGAGGCTCACATTTAGTGTTTCATCCTCAGGCTGAAGGCAGCAAACTCCAGAGGGATTTAAGAGCATACCTCGAGGCTGTGAAAGGTGACACGCACAAACACACAAGTCAATCCAGAGACACAAACACACAGAAACACACTTTCATTGGCGTATGAATACACACTAATATAAGCTAATATAGAGGATGTATGTTTGTCCTTAGCCATGCATGAGTCCTCTAAGAACCTTCAGGCATGTCTAGCTGACATGTATGAGCAAGACTGGTACGGCAAGAATGAAGTGGACTCCATTGTGGAGGTGAGAAACACTTTTTACTATTTCTTTAAAAGCCATATTAAGTGAGTAGGCTATATGTGTGTACATGATGTGTGCGCTTAGACATCCTGAAAGTTGTGTGATACAGGGGTTATACTTTTCTTGCCTTCAAGTATGCGTGCCCACTTAGTGCTGAGTGTTACAAGTCTGGTCGTCATGAGGTAAACGGAAGGATGTTTGCCAATCCTGTGTTATAAATGGTTTCAACTACACGAGTCCTCCAAGCTGATTAGAAAATAATAGAATAACCGCTCTTCTGAAATATTCAGGCTGTCCATCTCTGCAAGCAATTATAGTCCCATAGCATGAAAAACTGTACTGCTACAGACTTTATATTATGCTGAATGTCATAGAACCACGTCTGGTGAAAAATGTTGCAGAGATCCTTAAAATGTCCTCTAATTGTATTCTTGAGGTCATTTTTGATTAGCCACAAATAGCAAGAAGTCATTGCAATTAGCTAAAAGGCTTTTGCCTTAGTGAAGACCACAAGTCAAAATGATGCGACAGAGCTCCTGAAACAAGTTACAAAGTAAAGGAGAAATATATTCACATTGCATGCTACTCCAATATAAAATGTGCTCTGCAGGAGATTTGTCTCGTATAATGTTAAACAGTCTGTCTTGTGCCTGCTTCTGTACATTCCTTCATCTTGCAGGATTGTGATGTGCTTTGGACTGATTACCACCAGAAGCTGGTTGATCATGCTCTCATCTCCATGGATACTTACCTGGGCCAGTTCCCTGATATTAAGGTAAGTTAAGAGGTCGTGACCTCAACAAAAAATCGTTGGTCTTAAATGTTAATCCAGTGGCAGTGAGCGTCTCTTTTATATATTGTCACCTTGCTGGAAAGCATGTTGTATGAATACTGAGCATTTCGATATAAATGAAGAAAGTGAATAATACATTTTTTTTTCTTTTTATTCAGACTCGTATAGCTAAAAGGGACAGGAAGCTGGTAGATTACGACAGTGCCAGGCATAACTATGCCGTGACACACAAAACCAAGAAAAAGGACGGGGGCATTAAAATTACTAAGGTAAAACAAATGCGCTGCGGTGTTTGTAATCACTCAGATGCAAAATTCAACAATTATTTTGTTTTTCAGTTCATTATTTAGGTGAATCAACATGTAAGAAACCTAAAAAAATATATATGTTTGTTTTGTAGCCCTCATCCTTGTTGGAAAGGGCCACTCCAGGATGGGCTCAGGGTATTCTGTCTGCACACAACGTTGCCCAAAGCAGTCTTTCCAGGAGCCAGGTACATATTTACCTTATTCTACAATTGTAAGGAGTTTTCTGGTAACCCAGCAGTAAAATATATGTTACCATAACAAAGAAGTCAGTATGAGCTAGTTTCAGGAAGCCTTTCTAGAGATGATCCCTGTGTTTGTCTGTCCTCTCTGTTGATAATCTAATGAGGGCAAATTGAAAATGAGAACATCAAAAAGAACAAATCATATTAAGCACAATCAGTGGTGGAAGAGATGTTGTGCACACACACACACACACACACACACACACACACACACACACACACACACACACACACACACACACACACACACACACACAATGTATTTAATTCATTACCAGAACATCTAACACACTTGCAAACATACTCTAATTCATTAATTTCAGGCTGAGGAGGAGCTAGAAAGGGCCCAGAAGGTGTTTGAGGAGATTAATGCTGACTTGCAAGAAGAGTTGCCGTCACTTTGGAACAGGTAGGGAATATGTGTTTTTGATTTTTCCTAAATGGATCAGTGCATTTCACTTTCTTCTGTGCTTATAGGCATATTAAATGAAGTCAAGCTGTTAATGCAGTCAGTGCTGTCTCTCTCTTCTCTGCCCTTTCTAGTCGTGTTGGGTTTTATGTCAGCACCTTCCAGAGTTTGGCTGGTTTTGAGGAGAAGTTTCACAAAGAAATGAGTCGGGTAGGAGTCTTCTATAAGCCTCTAGCAGTGATGGATTTAGATAAAGATTAGACGAGAGAAATGGATGCAGTATATCAGATAACAGTTCAGGCCAGACGAGGCCATCGACTATGTCAGCAGGGCCTGCAGCTGAATATAAAATCTGATCTAACCTTCCTTGTTTATCACCTAGTGCAAAGTGTGTTTTAATGTATTTCTGTTTTTTCCCTTGAAAGAGAAAAGTTTCTAAGTAATTTGTTTGGACCCGACGATGGAAACAAACTGTAGCAAACACACTTTACAATACATGGATAACAATATCTATTAGGAGGGTGCCTTTGCAGTGTAAAATATAAATCAAAGAAGGTGGCAAAGGAAATGTAATATTAATTAAATAAATAAATACATGATATAAAAATGTTTATCTTACACACCATCTTTCTGTCTCTACAGTTGGATCAGGATATGTATGACACCCTGGAGAAACTGGAGGAAACAGACACAACTAGGTTAGTGAGAAATGAGCCGTCATTTAAATTCTCTCAGGTACTTGGAAACTGCTTGTTTCATATTCTTTTTACATAAGAGGTTAAGCTTTAGGAGGGATCTGTGGAATTAAACAGATATCATTTTATTTTTCTATTTTAATTAGGGCTGTCTGCGTTAATCTTGTTAAAATGACGTTAATGCCATAACTAACTCGCTAACGGAGATTTGCCGCGTTAATGCATTTTAACGTCATTTTAACGAGATTAACGCTGACAGCACTAATTTTAATCAAATTTTATTTTGATAAAATTGGGTTTTACACACCTGAGGTACTGGAAACATTTCAGATTACCTGAAACAGCTGCTTGAAAAAAAAATCCTGACAGTGATTTCAGAATGCTGAGCCTCATAAACTAGTTTACCTTAGGAAGAGCGCAAAGCCATTGTTTTTGATGCATAAATGAAGTGGGGAGGTTATTTATACATCTTTTTTTGTCCACACTGTTTATGAGCAGAGTTTTATTTTAATTTGTAAATCCTGCAGGTTCCAAAAATACCTCATTTTTTGATTAACATTAACAGCAAATAGAAGACGTTTCTATGAGTGCTTGTAAGGGATAAATATTTTAGAGTAATGTATGATCTTAACTGATTTATGTTGAAGGCTGATCTCTCTATTGCATCACTAATTTATGATGCATGTCTGAAGTGGTGCAATAATCTATCACTGTGAATCTTTTAGATTATTACACCACATATCAAAAACAGCAATGGATTAACTTAGAGCTACCCCTGAATCCCCCACCCCCCCTTTCAGCAAGACAGGTATCTGCGGCGCCTCATCATCAGGAGCAAATAGGAGGTAACTGGAAGCAGCTGGGGTAACAATGATGAAACAACTGTTGTCTGTCTGTCCAACTGACCTGTCTGTTGAGCTAGCGTGTATGTTAGTCAGTCTGCAGACTTGGGAGTTTTCAGAGCACTGGATGCTTGATTTGTGCAAGTGATTTCAAAGAAGTACTTTTGGATCGGAAAGTTTCGTGCTCAGAGCTGCAGATAGAGTTGAGTAGACCTGTGTGTCTTATATGCTGCGCCACGCAAGACTGTCACTGTTAGCAACAGTTATGCTGTCTTTCACCGTAAGGTAGAAGGTGAATTTTCAGTCGGTCCTGCATTAGTCAGTAGTGTTCAATGTTTTCAAGCCAAGTGGAAACCAAGGAACTGAAATCCAACAATAGAGCAAAGGTCCATCATAAAAACTATGGACCAAAATAAATTAGAGAAGATTAAAATGACTAAATTGTAGATATATAAACATGCATTGTTTTTGTAGGATCCATAAGTGAACACACATCAGTGGAGCTGCAGCTTCTGTCTGTGGTAAAATGACTCAGCATACATATTCAGAGATGCTGACACAAAATAAGCCTGGATCTTAGGGGGGACCCTGGAGTTCTGGAGCTCCAGAATTGTTGTCTTTCCCTGAATCCTAAACACCAAATTCCTTGATGTGTTTGACATTCCAAAACGTACCTCTCACTGCCATCTAAAACAGCCAGTGTACAAAATCACCTGTTGCAGCTTTAAGTTACAGGTATATGTCAACGTTTTTTTAATATCTGCAGCTCTGGAGCAGCTTTTATCCACTTTAGAGCATCTTCTCTGTAACAGGAGTTGCCTCTATCACTGCTCGCTTGTGACGATTTACTGGAGGCACAAACAAAGCCTGCTTGCATGAGAGGAGAGGACTTGAAACCATGAAAGGGGACTCACTTTTCTTGCATGACAGCTTTTCTAACACTTTCAGCTTGAAATCTTGCAGTGCATGTCTTGTAACCCTTCTTACAATCTTGTGTTTTAGCATTTAGCTGCTTCTTTAACCTCGGCGCTTTTATCTCATATCGTTTGCCGTCTTCATTGCTTTCTCTGTAATTCGTTTTCTTTTCTTCTCCCTCTTTCTCTCTATCTTGTTTACTCAGCGGTAAAGAGGCATCTAACCACACTCTCAGGCCAGGAGGACCACCCCCGATCCCCAAATCCCCATCCAAGGTAGACAAACAGTGTCTCACATACACACACTGATGTTTTCTCTTTGTTCAGAATACACAGAGGATCATTTAGTGTTTTAGTTTCTGGGGAGCCATCATCACTTACACATTGGGTTGCCATACCTGTGGATTTTGGGCTGTAAGTGGTTTATTTGTTTGTTTGTTTTTTCAAAACATTTTTTTTCATTTGTTTTTAAATTCAGGTCAACTCTTTGTGATCGGCAATAGAACCCCAGTTTAGGCTATTATCGTATATGTAAACACATTCACGGCTTCATGGTAAAGTTTTTGTGAGACTATCGTAGAACTTATTTATGTTGATCCATCTGGCATGTACTTCAAAACAAATGAATACAAAATATAATTTGCACATTCCGACAAAATTGAACTGCATAATATGAATTTTGCATTCATAACAGCAAAGTCCAATTGATTTGTCTAGTTGAAGGAATTAATTACTGCCTTTTTTCTATATTCTAGCTCAGACCAGCAGTGCCTCCTCCACCCAAGGTGACACCATCTAAAGAGCTAAAAACAGAGAATATCATCAACCTTTTTGATGCTGCAGCTACTCCTGATATCAACGTCACCTCCCCTACAGAGGTCAGTGAGCAGCTGCTGTCGATGAACCCTTTAGCTTTCCCCTTTTCTGTGCAGGTCAGAACACCCGCTTCTGATCTGCACCTCCTCTAATTTCTCCTATTCTATTCTATTCTATTCTGTCTTTTCAATTCTGTCCTTATCCCCCCTCCCACTGTTGTGCCCAATTAGCCAATGAGCCCTCCTGTTCCTGTTGTTATCAGTTTGACAGTCCTGCAGTGAGCAACCTGTTGGACATGGACCTGGATTCTTTCAGTGCAGCAACCAAAGCCTCCACGGTCACACAGGTGGATGATTCACGGCATGAAGATAAAGATCCTAGAGACCCTCTCTCTTTTAAGATATGTCAGTCTTCACAAGAGGTTTTAGTTTCTATTCAGACAGAATTTAAGTTCATTTCATGATATTTAATTCCAAATGAACTGAGTTAAAGAATGAGATGTCCAATGAAGGATTAGCCAACAACATCTGCCATTGCCAGTGTGGTTGGTTCACTTTAAATATGCTGAAATAAGCTTGATAGGTCTGAATAGAAATTGAAATCACTTGGTAAGCGTGGCATAGTTTGAAGTGTTGCCTGCTCTGCTTCTTTCCAAAATACCAAAAAAGAGTTAGATGAAGGCATGATGACCTGTAGACACCTGCCTCTAGTGTACACTTCTTCCTGCTTTAGCACTTTCCATGGATCACTCATGGCATGAACTGCAGACTACAGCCCTGCTTTGCTGTTCTTTCTTGGTCCCCAAGACTGTACAAATTCTCAATAACCTAAACGGTCCTCATGTTACTGGGAAGTTGCTTTTATTCTTTCAAATACTTAAATGATCTATTTTTGTTTGGCTTATACTATGCATGGTATTGATCAAAGTTACTACATGCCATTACTTGTGATTTACATAGCTTGAAAGACAAGAAGCTTGCAATGACAAACCCATACATTTTAAATTCCCCACTCTGAAGCCCAGTGTATAGAGCTTTTTAACCCATTTCAGTTAATTGTTTTGGTTTTAAAGTACACATAATGTATAATTAAACTAAAATTAGCAAAGTTACAGTTAGTTTGTGAAAACGTTAAACATCCAACATGCCAAAAGATATTTTTTCACGAAAGTACATGATGAGCAAACCAAAACTAATAGTACAGTAAAAACATTGATCTGGTGAAAAGCTACGAATCACTGATAATTAATATCAGAAATGCTCCTGTGAAGTGCACAGAAGTACATAGAGCGCAGTTATAGTTTGACTATATATTCATTAATCATTATACTAGTGGTAGTATAATATTCACTTTAGTTCAATTCTGTTCAAGTTCATGCGTATAGCCCCAAATCACAAGTTATTGCCTCAAATGAGAGATAAAATCTTTTATCTTAATATTTTCCTTAATCCCTTTATATGTATGTATATATATATTTTTTAAAGAACCTCCAATATAAGAGAGAAAACCCCCAAAATCAGATGACCCCATATGAGCAAGCAAGGAGACAGTGGGAAAGAAAAACTCCCTTTCAACAGGAAGAAATCTGAGCAGAACCAGGCTCAGAGGGGAAGCCATCTGCTATTGCTGGTTGGGGGGCCCTACAATGCCAAGGCTATAATTCATAATCAATTAACGGAAGGCTTTTTTTAAGATGCTTGAGTTAAAGCTAAAAGTTAACACGTCAATTATCACTTTAATTTTTATCATATTGCCTATATTTGTGTACTGAGGCAAAATTACAAAAAATGTAATTGTGGACCTAACTGTGGATTCCCTAATGCTCTTGCTATGCTCTATGACTTAGTTTTACAGGCTGCCAAATCTTAATGTTAAAATATTGTCCTCTGTTCCAAGTGACATTGTTATCCATTGGTCTGAGAGTGTTGTTAGTTTTTAACACAATTAAATAATATACTAATATATTTAACAAATCTACCCCTTCAGACTTCACACATCAGTTAATACTTTACCACATAGTGCTTGTACAGTTGTTCTGCTGGAGATCTTATGCTATGGGCTTGTAGCTCTAGAGCATGGGGCGTGTCTTATTGAATGTAAAAGGCAAAAGCAACAACCCTGTAAAGTATTCTGCTCTTCATATTTATTACTTCCTTTGTTTTCCACAGCCTGCAAACTGGGACTCATGGGTAAGCCATCTATACTCATGCTAAAAAAAAAAAAGTGCAACAGTAATTAGCAAAAAATCTAATTATCATCATCTTCATCAATACTTATTTCTATTTTTTTCTAGTAACCATCAGTTTAATAACAGTCATACATTATAGAAGCCCCGCTCCTATTATGCCTTTTCTATTACAGCTTTTCTGTTTAGCAAGCTTTTCAATACACTGACCTCTTTCATTTGTCTGTCCCAAATCTGTTTGTGCATTGTCTTTGTGTCTGCAGTGCGTGATTTGATAGACACTGAAGATATTGTTGAACAGCACAAATGGAGCTTGTGAATGAGTTTGAGTCAATTCAGTTCCAAGTTGACATTTCATACAGTTATACATACTGAGTCCATATAATTAGTGTCTTGTGTGCAGTCCACAATTAAAATCACTCTATTTCTTTTGCCTCCTGAAAACACCACTGACCTTTAAAAGCCCCAGTGTACCCAGTGTTTTATGGTAAATTCTAATGTAAAAGTGAAACATAATATTAATAGTGAAAAATATTTTCTGTGGTTTGAAATCATTTGCAACTGAATTGACTTATTTCCTTTCTGTTTCCCTTCACATGCTGTACCTGTATGTTCACATGTCAAACTGATAGAACATGTAGCCTTTACATGTTATTTTCATGGTTCATGTGACACACAGGGATCTTTTGTGTTCTCAAAGTTTAGTGAAGTTGCTCACGCTTGCTGTGGATTGTGTTATACAAACGAGTCTGGTAAACTAACAAGAGCTACTGGGCAACTTCACAAAGCCTTTTTTCGTAGCTTGGCCTTTTGACCATTAACCTACGTTTTTGTTCGTCCCTCTCGCTGTTAAGAGAGACGTGTCTCAACAATCATGGAGTTTTGCTATATTTGAGGCTGAGGCAAAGCAGTGATGGCTCAGAAAGGACTGACATGTCTACTCTTACAAAGCTTCCTTCCTCTTTCTCCATCTGAACATAGCCTTGGATTAGAAACCATGCTTGCTAACCACACACAGAAGATCCAACATCTATCTTCTGATGGGAAAAAGCTGACAGCTTTTATGTTTTTGCCTTCTACTGCCACCCTTCCTTAACCCTCATCTGTCTTTTGATTTAATCTGAACCTTTTCTGTAAAGGTTGGTACTTCCACATCAATCTTCATGGGCTTTATGGTAATTATGATGATAATGCTTGTGAGCAATGACATATTCTGATCTCCCATGGTCCTGTTTCTGCTCAATTAAGATACATTTCTTTATTTTTATCTTTAAATATTACCAATTATTTTGATAAGGATAATACTTATCGCTGTTCAAATCCCTTCAAAAGACCATTCTCATTTTGCAAGAGTTTTAGCCCCTTATTTAACATTAAGTACAGCCCTGTTTCCAAATGAAGATTGAATATTTTAAAAAAGTCAAGCCAAAACCAAAAAGTGTAAAATAACAATAAAGAGCTATTCTGTTCTATCTGTTCTCTCAAGCCATGCAGAGCCCATATAGGGCTCAAGAACATTTCTGAAAACTGCTGTCAGTCTTAAAACAACATATAGCCTAAAGAAAATCAACAAATCTCTCCACCTTCTACTGTGAACGTAAATAAGACCAAGACATATTAGAAAACTGTCCCGTGAACCAAGATTTCAAAATGCTTAACAGTCTTTGGACAATGTGACATGCCATGTCCCCAATTTTCATGATAGTCACACAAACAAAAACCAGATTGTGGTACATTAGTACAGGTACAGTACACGTTAACTTCCATGCCATGTACGGCAGCGGTCCCCAACCCCCGGTCCGGTCCGTGAGTCGTTTGGTACCGCGAGAGTTGAAGCTCGGGTGTGAAATTCTGGGTTTTTATCATTAACTCGGTTTCCCTGGGTCTTTTCCCATGTTGTAGTTATGTGTCTTATTTTGAAAGAAATATTTCCGTGTTACCATAGTGACCAGAGAGCATTAAGGGGCAGAGAGGAGGATGTTACTCTCAATGTTGTTGGTGCATTTCAGGAGGATGCTGCTAATAAAGTTACACAATTATTATTATAATAATAATAATTTATTATTATACTTACAAAATACCACAGTTTTTGTCTTGGTCGCATCATTTTATTTTGTTGTATTTATCCGCGACACCTTAAAAGCCGGTCCGTGAAAATATTGTCTGACATTAAACTGGTCCGTGGCGCAAAAAAGGTTGTGGACCGCTGATGTACGGGACCATTAATGCTGAATGATATATGCAGGTTTTATGCTGGTAGACAGACAATGTCATACACAGTTAGCTTATTTCACCTGGACAATGTCAAGCGTCTGTTTGTACAGATTCTATCAGTGTGGCTTTGTAGCATGAGTCCAGGTGCAAAACTTGCTTGCCTGCAGTCTAGACCTGATGAGCAACTAAAACCCTTTATCGGGAAAGAATAGAAAACATTTGCCTTTGCAAAATACAACAGTTGGTCAATTTCCAAATGCTTACAGTGTTCTTTAAAGACAAAGTGAAAACTATCATCCTTTGGAAACAGAGAAGTATTTTGGCTACATCAATATGGCCAGTATAAGATTTAGTAAAAGATAGTTGTTACATTAAGGGCTAAAACATTCAAAATCACTTGTATGACCTGTTAGTATTTAAACATTTCAAGCTCCCTCCTTTCTTTCTTATGAATGTATCTCTTCTAAATCAATTTAGTTACACTTTAAAAAAAATATCAAACCCCTTTCTACATTAACAATACTTTACTTTTATTATTAGTCTTAAACTGGTCATACAACATCTCCAGCTTTCTCTTATTTTTAATTCTTGATCCCATTTGATTTATGAAGCCCTTAGAATATCCAGAAGGTAAAATATCTCTTGTGCCCTCTTGACTCCTTGAAACCTGACCCTTGCCCTTCAGCCTGAGGACAGTGGTGCCCAAGAAGAAGCGACCACACAGCACTATGACCCTGTGGCTGCTGCTACAGAGGCCTGGGGGGATGATGGTTCGCAGCCTGTCCACTATGATCCCATCACAGCTGCTACAGAGGGCTGGGGGGATGACGGAACCCAGCCAGTTCGCTATGACCCTTTGGCTGCAGCTCAAGAGGGATGGGGGGATGATGAAAACCAGCCGGTTGATTATGACACCGTAGCTGAAGCCCAAGAGGGCTGGGGCGATGAGGAAAGCCAACCAGTCGCAGAGGTGCCTGCCACAGACTATGAAACACCTGCAGATGAGGCTCCAGCAGACGCAGTTGAGGAGGAAGCCCCCCCAGCTGCTGCTGTGTTGGATAATGAAGAGGGTCAGGTAACCAAGGAGAGAAAAAAATATAGAGATGCATCTGGATGAAAATGATGGATGCATCGACTCTTAAGAAAGAGGTTTGAGCATGGGGTACTGGAGAGAAAAAGATCATGTGAATAAAAGGTGGCAGATGGAGAAATCTTGACATGGAAAGATTTAGGATGCATCTGGACCTGAAGCATGGATGCATCAAATGTGATAAAGAGGGCAAGTTGAAAATAAATTGTTGAGGGAAGGAAAAGAATAGCAACATCTGCTTCTCTACACTCAGTTAATCCCAGTCACTGCTAATCCACACACATAGTATTCTGTGCAAAAGCTTTATTGCAACTGTACAGTAGTATTTAATCTTGCATCTGTGCAGCATGCCTGTAATAACAAAGACTTTGCTGTTTAGGCTTTTCTGCTTGTCTTTGTCTCATGTTGTCTGTTTCTTCTTTCTTTCATTCTTTGCCCCTCTTTAATTTAAGGTTTTATCCGTCTCACCTTTTAACCTCTCTTGTTATTTATCTTTCTCTCTGCTACCAGGGAGACTCTGCAGCAGCTGCAGCAGCTGCAGCAGCTGAACCAGCTACACCAACTGCACCGGCTGCACCAGTAGTGGAAGAAGAAGCAAAGGAGGAAGAGGAGGTGAGCGCAAGAGTTTAATTTATAATATGTAGCGATTGCTATAATTAACTTAGAGCTGCATTTTTTTATGTAACAAAAACGACCCTTACTTTTCTGGATTTTATATTTATTCTGTTATTTATGGAGATTGTGGCACCAACAAAATGACAAGAGGCTAAGATAGAGTTGGCAGTGCTGATGTTAAGATTTTTTACTGGGTGAACAGGATTAAAAATTAGTGTATCAAAGCAACAGTTCAGGTTGAGAGGTTTGGAAATAAAAGTAAAAGAGGCAAGGCTGAACATGTTCAGGGGAGAAATAGTGGATATATCGAAGAATTTTGGAGATGGAGCTGCCAAGAAAGGAAAAGAGGAAGACCTCAGAGAATATTCATGGATGCTGTGAAGGAGGACCTGCAGAGGGTTGGTGTGAAAGAAGAGGATGCTAGAGATAGGATGACATGGAGCAGATGATCGGCTGTTTCTACTCCTAAAGGACCAGTTGAAAGACAAAGTGATGTACATTGTAAACCTTATACTTGGCAATGTTTTTTTTTAGGTAACTACATTTGTCTTTTAACGAATCAACTATACAATAAAAGACAAAGTGCATCTCATTAGTCACAAAATAATATATCTGATGAGGTCGTTATTTTGTTTAAAAAAGACAGGTAGTAAAATTTAATGGACATGTATGTGTGCTTTAAGGTGAAATGTTACTATTTAAATAATGTATCCATAAATTAAGCATTTTTTTTAAATGTATTTATTGTCCAGACACCTGCAGTAGCAGCAGAATCAACAGAAGTAGCATCAGAATCTGCAGAGATGCCTCCTGGCTTTCTGTTCAAGGTAAAACAGGAGACCAAATGGGAAAACCTAAAAGTGTAAAATGTATTTTGTTTATACGACGATAACTCATGTTAGCATTTATATACAATAGGTCCAAGTGATGCACGATTATGCTGCCAATGACACAGATGAACTGGAGATGAAGGCCGGTGACGTGGTGCTAGTAGTGACTTTTGACAACCCCGAAGAACAGGTAAACTCAAAATTCAAACGCGTACTCATGTGCTTTTGTGCCACAGAAACACTGACACTGTTATCTGATTGCTTGCATGTTTGTGTGCTTAGGATGAAGGCTGGCTGATGGGAGTAAAGCAAGACGACTGGCAGCAAAACAAAGAAAATGGCACTAAAGGAGTATTTCCCGAAAACTTTACCCAGAGGCTGTGAGGCTGCCTCTTATCTACAAGAGGACAGGACCGCAGTCCGGCACTTTCTTTATGTTTCTCTTCCTCTTGCCCATTTTCCCTTTCTTGCCCTGATACTGTATCTTTCCTAGGACTTTGGCCATAAAAGCAGAGCTGTCACAGCCCTGGATGAAATCATGCATTTCTAAGGTCTGCTACACTGTGCTAAAAGGGGATGTTGGCATTTCTGTGGATTTCTGCCAACATTTACAAATTACAGATGTAGCCATTTCACAGGTTTCACTTTCAGCAGTTTTTCTCTGCAATTACCTGATATTTGAGGAAGTGATTGGAGACTCGAGCTCATACTGAATAAATGAAAGGATGGTGATTCCTGAAATGGTTGCAGCTGAAATGGCATTAAAATCTTTTATCTTTGATCACTCGTCATCATGCGAAAGATGTTGACTGACATGTTTTAAACTGGGAATGAGATATCAAGGACCGTTTGTAGTTAGTATGATGTCAGGTGTAGCAGAGCGTCTTACACCCACGTCAGTCTAAAAATGGATTTGTTAAGAGAATGTAAGGCTGAGCAAAAGGTAAAAACACTTCACTTTAGTAGAAACAGTGACTAAGCAGATTAAAACGCTGAAAAAATCGAACCAACTCCTAGCTTGCAACTTCACTTTCCTTCTAACTTTGAACTTACATGGTACTGAAACCTCATCAGCCCAGCAGCAGATCTTTAACTAGGACTGGAGTTCTCAGATTAGTGATCACACTCCTGATAAACTGCATTGGATAAAACCTGTCCTTTATCCCTATTTTAACTTTTTACTTATAGAAGATTGGCCCTTGGTTATTGTATTAGTTTAGACTCTGTGGTGGTATAGGTAGTATGAACCTGTTGTTAAAATCCAAATAAATACATATATGTTGTTAACTGATCAACATATTACTGGATTTACATTGCTGGACAACAGTCAAGTAAACAAGGAATCCATAATTATGATTTCTGGTCTGGGAGTCTCATATGGTATTAATGACTAATTGATAAATTATTTTTGACTGTTGTTGTTTTTTTGTTTGTTTTTTTACCTTATCAAGCGATTTCAAATATGCATTAGCCTGGCTTGCTAAAAGCTAGCCTACAAAATACAGAAACAAGAAACTGCTACTGGTAGTATAATAGTTTATAGATATGGCAACACCCTTATACTAATCAAATATATAATAACTGAGCCAGCCTCACTAACTAAATAAATAAATAAATGTGCCGAAAACAGTTCCCTCTGTTTGCAAAGAGACTATTTAACTCACATGCAGATGATTATGAATATGCACCAGAGCAACTTCTTTTATTTTTATATGCTGCCAAGCAATGATTACATATAGCCTAATGTAACTATGTCAACAGAATTGCCAACTGAGGATGATATGGAGTGTTTTGTACTTCTGTAAGGTTTACTGCTCTCGACGTAGCCGCGTAGGTAGTTAAAACTATCTCACATTCAGTCATTCATTCAGTCACTGAATTAACAGCGATTCTCATGATGTTATTAACATGTAATAAGTCTGAGAGAAAATGTACGTGTGTACGATTGTATGTGTGTGTGTTTATGAGTTGTTTGAGATCAGAAATCTTTATCTATAGGCTATTGTTATTGGATGATACCACCGCCACAACCTACCAGGGGAAGTTTTTCTGACCGGACAAGGGCAACTCAAATGTATTTGGGCCTTTTTCCACTGGCTGGTATTACGGTTCCAGGTGTTATTGTGCATTTGTTGTGTATAAGTGTAATTTTACCAAGCTGTGATGACAGATACATATTCTATAAAGACATTCATATTGTATGTGTGTTACTGTGTGCATGCTGACTTCCCATGTGTTGTTGTGTGAACACCCTTAATTTAAGACAGTGATACTTGGGTCACTTTTGAGGCAGTTGAAACAAGGTATTTATTTTTATTTTTTTATGTGTTTTGTTAAACTTTATAAGATGGTGGTGGGCAGTCATGGTGTGTGTTTTTCTGCCATTCTCTTTCAAATCAGTCCTGATTATTACTGCTGGTTGCCCATCAGCCTTGCCTCAAAATGTTGCTAGGTATCGTGGTCCAAACAGAGCTAATTACATGGAGGCTTGTCACATAAAGACAAATTCCAAGCAACCAGACACAAGTGGACTTTTTCGAATGGTTTTCAGTATTTTTAAACCACTTTGGACTGCATTTCTTTCTTTTGTTCATGTATATTTAAAATGCCTTATAACACGTGAGAACAACAGCTTCACATTAAGGCAAATTAATCACTATTTCTTTTCCCTTTTTTGTATAAATTAGTCATGTTTACCTGAGTCTGGCTCTGTATTTGTCTTTATGTAACACTCTCCTATGTTGAGCTATGGGGTATGACACAAAGGACTTTCCTGTACCTAACTGACCAATATTAAAGATAAAAAATATAATAGCTACTTGTCTGTGGTTCCTATTTATTAAATGTACAGTACCTTACAGTTCCTACTAAATTTATCATGCCAACACTGAGTGTAAGATGTGGCATAAACCTTACAATATTTTTAATTAACAAAATTGCTGCTTACTAAAAGAATTTTTCGTTCTGTTAACTGGTTAATCCACCAATTTGTTCAAATCAAAATTATATTTTAAATGTTATTAATGCCGGCTTTAAAATTTGGTTATAAAAACACACTTTGTTCTTTGTCTAATAAATAACTATATATAGATAGATGGGAACAAAAAACAGTTCTCCCTCTGCTCATTATTTGCGATCATTGGTCATGTGAACAAAGTGAACAAAATTTTAAAGTACTTCTCACTAATTCATGTGTTTTTCTTCAGCTAAGAAAAACAAATTGTGTTCAGCGTGTTGTTCTTCATGACATCCATCCATCTACTTCATTCCATAGGTAAAGAAGCAGGCTACATCCTGGACAGGTTCCCAGTCTGGTGCAGGGCTAAGAAAGAAACAGACAAACCTTCATTCTTACATTCACACCTACAGCCAGTTCAGAATCACCAGTTATCCTTACCTACCTCCATTTTGCGACTGTGGGAAGAAAGCTAAACACCTAAAAAGGAATCAGAATGGATTTAAAGCCAGGACCTTCTTTCTTCTTCTTGCTTCTCTGCAAATACTGAAGCATCCAGCAGGGGGTACTGTGCTCACTGACTAATTTCCTATCCTGGAAAAAAGAAAAAGCTTTCAGGCATCAAGGGGAGGAAAGAGGAGCTTTGCTGAGAGCTGCTGTCCTTGGTACTGAAACCAAACAGCAGCCCACCCTAACCACAGCTGCTGTTATATTAAGTTATAGATGTATCATTTCATAAAGTGACCAATAGGTTATTTATGTTTTATCTATGAAATCCTTTTGCTAGTCCATTTTGTTAGCATAGATCTTGAAAAGACGGAAAGCATTTCTATTACAACAAGCAGAATAGCCACTTTATTACTTTATTAGATAATCTATATCTATATGATACTTTGTATTGTATTGTCACGATCTCGTTTAGATTTTTTTTTGCTATGATAAAAGCACAACAGATTTTAGTTTACAAACAAGAGAAAACCTTTATATTTCAAATTCAAAATTTTATGAACAGAGTTGCCAGAAAAAATATTACATTTACATTTTTTAAAAAATAGATCTTTAAATAGTCTCTCCAACAATAGCTTAATATACATATGTGACAAATCTTTGAGCAGTCATACAAAAGAATGCCTTCAATTTTCCAGATCGACTGCAATGTTTGAGTCTTCACATAGCAACTCAACTGGGAGGGGCATGCGGGAAATATGAACTATATATTACATATCTATTCATCTCCAATAAGCCATTTAACAAAAAAGATTAGACCTGCTTGGCATACTGCTAAGTGTATAAAGACGGAAGTCAAAAAAGACCATGCAAAGTTTCAAATAAACACCTATTAAACGCTTAAGAATAAAAATAAGTACTGTTTTTAATATGATGCCTAGCTAGCTACTTAATACAGTAGTTGAATACAGCCTGAGTGCACTGATCTGAAAACTGGAAACCTGAAACAATGAAAAACAAATAAAAAAGTTTTAAATTAAAAACACCTGATAATCAACAAGGAGACGTTTAAATGAGCCACATAAATTTGTTTAACACAATCAAGTCGTGTAGAAACGGATGGCAGAGACAGGGCGGCCACTATAGCACCTTTAATCAATCCTGCATCAGTAAGTGACAAATGTTGTGAAGTAGAATTATACAGTATGTGTACAAAGTGTAACACAAATACTGTGTATTCATACTCTTTCTCCGCCATCCAGTTGTTACAACAAAGCCCTTTTTCAGATGTCAAAAAACAATGCAACACCAGTACATTTAATCTCATCATGTACAAAGTAATGAACTTAATAAACTGTCTAGTTAAATATTTTTCTGTAAATTATTTGCTAATATATAATATAGACTCTAAAAGGAAGAGTAAAGAATCAGTGAATTTACTGCAGTGATGAATCTAACAGTAAACTAAGTAAAGTCCATGAGTTAACTGTATAAATACCTATGTACATTTAAAGTTTCACATCTCACCTTGTTCAGTCACTAATTTCTCCTCTTTTTTTCTTTGTGTGTTCATCTTAAGCCTGAGACACTAAAGAGGTTTCACAAAATTGTATCAATAAGCTCAAATATTGTCAGATTGGAGTAAATACAGTACAAAGGAAGGATAAAAACCCGGCAGTCTCACTTCTCAGCAATTTTTTTTAGTATAATCTTTGTTTTTGATCTGTGGTAAACAGAAATCAGATTTTTTTCATGTCTATTACATTTTTTTGGAAATGAATAAAACTAGAAATACTATTTTTCCATATTTCTGTTACTAGAATAATGTGTCCTGTCTCATTTTCTCTCTTTATCTCGTTTGCATGAACAACAAAAGAACTTGTTGAAGTACAGCAAATACAGGCAAGTGGAGTTACTACAAAACATATTTACATTATAAAATGAATTGCCTTTGGTGGTCCCTCAGTTGATTTCTTGTGAAAAGAAAGGTTGTTGTGCTTTGCGTTCTAGTGCTCCATACTAGTGTTAACTGAAAGAAGACATCGTGGTGAAACATGTCTCTGCGCCTCTTATCTATGTCATTGTTCAACAGACCAGGGGTGGAAGTGTGTAGTATCCAGCAGCATTTTCCCTAGCCAATGTAGAAGCCAAGGGTACCAGTGCAGCCCATCATTCTGTGCTTCTGATGGCCCAATCAGGCTGTAGAAGAGTCGTAGTGGGGCCAGGGCCCAGTGGGACAAATGGTGACTGTCCACAGCAGCATAACAAGATGCCAATACACCATTTACCACTATAGACCCATGCTGGGTGAGTGGGGCATACAAGCCAATGCTCCTCTGCTCGCTCACAAAGGTCACAACTGAAAGTTTTGGCTGCGACTTCACTTCCCCTGCCGATGTAAACACACACTGTCCTGGCTGGACCTCGCTGGCAAAAACCGTCCTCTGACCTACTCCCCATCTAGGCCTGCCTTCCCACGTGGAACCCGATAACGGCTCTTCCTCTTGCTGATTCAGCCCAGCAGTGCAGTCTGTGACAAAGATCAGGTGAGCAGCTGTGAGAGTAATATTGAATCCTGCATTAGTCCCAATAACATAAAAGATCTTTGAGGCATTGGGCTGGCGGTCCAGAAAGGATAGGACTGGGCTGTAGAGAAAAGGACCATGGCCGTCTGCTGTTGAGGAAGCCAAGACCCGATCACCAGGGAGGAGGTCACGCATCTGTTTAGCAGCACCACCTTCAACGACAACCTGAGCGTCACCAGGGAAACAACCACCGGTTTTGGCTGCCACAGAGTGTTCTGTTGAATTGAAGAACAAAAGACATGATGATGTTATTTGTAATTATTTAGTGCTAATGCAAGAATGAAAAGCATAAAGAGAGAGAAATGTTGGAGGTCCTCTCAGGAGAGGAGGACAGGCACCGCGGCATTTGGTCTCCTACAGGGATTTCACATTTTTCTGGGTCATTGAGTATAAAGCAGGTAAGACTTTGACTCTCGAAGAACTTTATCTCAGTGGATTAGTGGTGGATTGTTAACACATGTATACATTATGACTCAAAGTCAAGGTTCAAACTGCTTTCTTGTCTATCTGATTCTTGCCCTCTTCTTGTGCTTAGAAACTATGCACACACAGAAACCCACTTCAGAAAAATTATGTTTTTATCTGCTTTTAAACAAACCAATTAAGAGCTGATCGCTGGATTTTTAAACTATTACTTGTCCTTTCATTGTGTGAGGCAATCTTTAAATATGGTTATGTGTCATTGTAACCATTTTATAATGCTTACAATAAATTTATATGGTTTGAAATACATGAAATAGTTCCCAAAACATTTTTTAAGGCAAATCAATTTCTTGGGGTAATGGAAATCTTACAAAAAAAGACAACAAAGCAAAATATCAGCCAATGCTGTAACTTCATATTTTTCATGTATTGCCCTCTGTTATGGAAACAGTGTTCAGTGCCATGGTATGTACATGTACTGTATTTCTATCTTTCTGAAGCAGATTTTTCATGTTAACAGTTAGCAGAGTAATAACAGAGAAACATCCTTTGTTTTACTATTTTATTTTGCTATTGCCGAAGTGACAGTGTTGCAGAGTATATCTGAGCTATTTGGCCCTTTAAGACGCAGCGAGATGAGGTGGCAAAAAGGGGTAGTCGGCAAGAGCTAATGGATAACCAGCTGATTGTATCACCACAGTCAGAGCACGGCCTGGGGTCAGAGAGCCAGGAAAGTACACAGACTCTGGTTCTAGATATTGTTTTTAAACTGGGTCACATGCCCCAGTCTCAGCGGTTCTATACACACTGAGACATCACAATGGGCTCGAATCTTAGCAAAGAATCCTGCTATTACTAAGCACTATATGGTACTACCGTCTTAAATGAACTGGGAGAACAATAGAATAGAATAGAGTAGAATAGAATAGAATAGAATAGAATAGAGTAGAATAGAATAATTAATGCAAAAAATTGTGAAACAGAAATGAATCAGTATAAATGTGCGTGGGTGTTTGTGTGAGAGGGCTGTCTTAAGGCAGCCAAATATTTGTCCAAGGTGTGTGTCGGTAAGCCTGAAGGCTGCAGAGACCAGGGGGTGATAAGACTCAGATAAGCGATCTCAGAGAAACCTACTGAAGGAAAAGCAATAGCGAACAAAGAGAGAGTTAATCATCTCACAGGCTACTAACCTCATCAGACTGCTAGAATGCAGTTTGGCATCAAATAACTGGTGGTACCAGACATGGGTAAATGGATTTCTTAAGTGTCTTAAAAGTTAGAATAGCTGGAGGTGGAATGCTTTCAGCTATTGTTTGCATGAAGAAAGTATGTGATAAAGTATGTGTACTGAAATATTATGGATCTACTACAAAAATGCAGATTGAATATACAGTCAAGA